GAAAATCCTTTAATAATAATCTGATATATATTTATATATTATATATAAAAAGGAATACACATAGATTATTCGTAATATATATTTAAGTTACCTTTTTAGTATTTAAATTTTATTTTTATTTTATTTTAGTTTGTCTTGGAATGGAAAAAGGATTAGGGTTATTTTAGTTGCCTATAAATATATAACTATAGAGTTGTGAAAGATGTTAGAAAATATATCACGTACTATATTTTAGAGAGAGAAAGAAGGAAGAAGAAGGAAGAGAAAAAGGAAGAAGGAGACTAGGGTTTTTATCAAGTCCCTAAAGGCAAGTTTTAATTCTTCTCTTCTCCTTTGATTCGTACCCTATGCATGCTAGATTAATTCTAGGTTATTTAAATAAATTAATTGAATCAAAAAAAATTTAAATTAATTTGGAAGTTACAATTTATGTGTTTTAGTAATGGATTTGTGATGAATTTAATATCTTTGCTGAACTGGACATTGTTTGGTGATGTCTTTATTTAATTATTTTTAATTTTATTTTTATAAACATGAATTTTCTTTACACGAATCAGTTTATTAAATTTAGATGAAATTTGACTTCTGTTGCCTTCTAAAGCAATGCACGCCGAACCGAAAAAAATAAAAAAAATAAAAAAATACAATCAAATTATGGTTGACGGGATGAATCAGTTGGTGTTATAATTAAAAATTGTTTCTTCATATAGTACACACGCCGAACGAGGAAGTCATTACAATTGGCTTTAAGGAAAACAGTTTAATATATAAGGCATATATGGGTGACATATAGATTCGTTAAATAGTGAAGGCAGATTTATTCTTCCTATAGGCACGCCGAACGAGGAATTGCTTCAACAAAACCATAATGTTACACAGTACATATATGACTGATACAATGGTTGGTATAATAGTTGATATAATGGTTGATAATTATACATTTTTTAAATTTATCCTTTATATGTTTTATTTATTTATTTTGATTAATGCTGAAATATTAAATTAATATTTGTTATGTTTGGATTGATAGATCTATATGAAATATTTAATTGATTTAAATAGATTCATTAAAAATTGGAAAGCATGATTTAAGTTTACATGCTAAGTATGGAATGTAATTAATTTTAAGATGATAAATTAATTAGATATTGTTGGATTATATTATTTTAATCAATTATTTAAATTTAAATTAATTTAATTCGAACATGGAGATGTACAATTTAGTTCAGATACATTTTAATGTTCTATGATGTAAATTAAATGCATGCTATTTAAAATTTACATTTTTGCTCAAGTAAATACAAAGGATGTGTATATGATTTGTATCATATTTATTTGGATTGTTATATGTAAACATTATTGACATTATCCTTGAATTTGAAACTTTCATTTGATTATGATATGGATTAATGCACCATTATGGGATGGGGGCATATTAGGGACGGATTAACTTAAGAGTTAAGTCCTACCTATTTTAAATAAGGGAACGGATTAACCACAGTGTTAAGTCTTACTTATTCGTGTCAGGTCAACGGAATAGTTGGATGACATATTATTGAAATAATAATTTGATATGTTATTTTGATGGTTGGATTGGACGGATTTTACATATAGAATTATACGTCACGATATGAGCTTGAGTCTCAGGATCAGTGGTTAGGATGCATATATTGCCAGGGATGTGTAGTTAGATATAGTGTAGTTGTATACCCTGGTAGGTCTAGGTACTCATGCCCACTATATGTGCGTTTTGCATGTTGCCTACTATTCAGGTTGAGATAACTCTATAGTCTAGTGAGGTTTCTTTAGTGTGTATATATCTACGTATGGACTATTTGGTTATTGTTGAATTAATTAGGATGTGTACGTGTATTGGGTTTCTGTTTGGGATGTAGTAGATTAGAACTTGTTTGTGAGCCTGATCCACCATTATTTTTCAGGTGTTCGTCAGTTCCAGTCTTAGCGATTGCTCGTGCCAAGCAGAGACAGTCATTCACTCTTCCGACTCTACGTAGGACTCTTCTTCATGGTTTAATTATTAGTTTTATTTTAGTTCAGTTAGGATATTATTAGGGGTCCACAATATGGATTCCCGAGTTGTGGTTTTAAGTAATTACTGGTATCAGAGGATTGGAGAACTTTAGTATGGGATTTTTAATTATTATTTAATTTTCTTTTCAGCTTATCTATTTATTTTTAATTCATCTTGTATTCCAATGCTTGTTTAAATATTAATTATTTGATATCCCTTGTATTCTGTGCTCGGACTTGATCACCCGTGGCTCTAGAATCGAGGGGTATCTCAATTCATAAAGACTTTGACATTGAATTTTAAGCTCTCACCATCCTATCTACCATTTTCTTCATTCTTTGACCATAATCGTTTAGGCTTGATGAAGATTTTCTTTCTTTCTTTGAAATGTTTTGTGTGATCTTTGAAGTCTGAGTTTTTCTTTGATTTCTTGCAACTTTGAGGCTTCCTTGAATCCATTGCTTGAGTGCTTGGAATGGATTTTCTAGTTCATCATTGAGGATTGGATATTGATCAACTATATATCACTCAATGAAAACATTATTACTTAAACATCAAAACATAAGATTGACCTTTAGATAAAATCTTTAGGCCAACAATATATTTTCTGTATAACAATGTTTGATTTTAGATTCAAAATATAGAAATAATATATATAGCTACTTGAGAGAGAGAGAGTAAGAGGGAAGGGTCAGTTTGACAGTTTCTATTGGGTGTAGTCATCAAATTTTTTTTTTTTTTTTTTTTCCTTTGAAAAGTTAAACACATGTTAATGTTTTATTAAGCCACCCCATCATAAGAAGGAGGTTCCTTCTTATGCGATCTAAGGCAAACATTGTACTTTTATAAATAAGGAACTAAATACAGCCTTAGAGCATCTCCAACCCACATAACTTTTACAAACTTTTGAATTATTTAATTTTAGTACAATGGTTGTTTTATACTTTTTGTGTAAAAATATATCTCTCAATAACAATTGACCATATATCATGTCAAAACCCACATAACTTTTACAAACTTACTTATTATATGGTTAATTTTTTAATGGGATGAGAAAAAGGAATGAAAAATGAAATATGTTGATTTGGTGGTATAAAAAAGTTATGTATTTTACACAATCTTTTTACACATTGGTAGTGTGGTAAAATATTACTGGAGATGAAAAAAATTTACATATCATAAGTAATCGTATATATTTTACATAAAATGATATTTTAACATACCGTTGGAGATGCTCCTAGGTGGATATACCTGCTATATTTTTCATCCTCATCTAAAATAACGAAACTATCCTGAGTAATATACATATGTATACATTTTGACCAGAGAGTTTCTCTCTTATCTCCTAGTTAGCACCTCCAACTCTTCTTTTCTCTTCCATCACGCATATCAGCTTACACGCATATACATTACAATACTGTATGACAAACGTACACACATATACATTACAATAATTTATGATTAAAAAAAAAACCATTACAATAATTTTCACACAAACCCAACACAGAGCCTTATCCAATTTCCTTCGCCGCCACCTGCCGCGTCCCTGCACCTCCCTCCTCCTCTACCACACCCTCAAATAACCCTTCAATTACCACAACCTCACCGGGATCCGGCGACGGCTTTGGCCATGTACAGTTTCCTCCACCGCCAAGTTCACCGCCACCTGCCGCGCTCGTCGGCGTTCCTCCATCTCCCTCTTCTACCACACCCTCAAATAACCTCTCAATCCCCAACGCTGGCGAAGCCGTTGCCGGATCAGTTCCATCTCTGTACATATATATATATATGTGTGTGTGTATATCACTTCTACAACCATCATCACCACCCAATCCACTTCATCGCCGCCACCCAATCCGATCCACAACCACCACTTCTACCACCATCATCACCACCCAATCCAACCCCCGACGAGCCTAATTGAACCAAGGGGAACCGTAAATCAAACCCAATTCACACACACACAGACACATAGTATCTCTCAAATCCCTAATCCGAAATCCCATACATATATACTCACAGGTTTCACTCTCCTGTGATGAGAAGTGAAGTGAGAAGGAGATGATGCCTTCAACAGCTGCAACTACGTTTGAGTTTGATTGACTCAGTGACCGGTTCGTACTGTGGAGATCCTGTCCTTGGAGTTTCTGTGCGTGAGGTGTGACCGGGCTCCATAGTCGGGTCAAGATCGGGCTCCATGGTCGTGTCCTCGGGCTTTGCGCCACCGGTCGTCGAGTTTGGTGAGGATTGAGAGGTTGGGTATGTGGTTGATGATGAGGGCGAAGGTGAAGGTGAAGGTGGTCTTGGGTTCGGATCTGGTATTGGCTGATTCGTGGTGGTGGTGGTGGTGGAGGCGAAGGTGAAGGTGAAGGTGGTCTTGGGTTCGGATCTGGTATTGGCTGATTCGTCGTGGTGGTGGTGGTGGTGGTGGTAAAGGTGAAGGTGAAGGTGAAGGTGGGTGGTGGTGGGCCTAGGTTGGGGTGGTTGTGGACGTTGCGGTGGTGTGACCGGTGAGTGGAGAGAGATAAAGAGGTGGTGGCCGGTGGTGGGTGATGTTATAGATAGAAAATTGTATACATGTGGTTGTATTTTCAGTTTTGTCATTTTAGGTGGTCAAAGGTATATTTAATAAAAACTAAACTCTAAATTAATAATTTATTTATAAATCTTTGAATAAAATATATAATAATATATTATATTATTATTCTGTGACATATCCATGTAACTCCAGTCTTTAGACGTAATTTGGTAATATATAACTGGCAAAAAACGTTGACTGATGCAATTAGGTTATTTTCTTGGTTTCTTCCCTTAATTTGCTTTCTATAGCATGAATCTTTTAAGAAAGTTATAGATAGACAGGTTTTGAAGCATCTTTTAGCTTTTAAAATTCAAAGCTGATATATTATGTTTGAATTTTCAGCTGTGGGTCCTCCATCCAGTGGCCGAGGAACCTTCCGCCTCCCCATTTGGTTCAAAGTTTTGGGCTTTTTGTGAAGACAAAGGAGGAAATGGAGAGTTGATATGCACTACGTTTGAATCTTCGGATATTGTCACTCACAAATTCCATCTTCACCAAACAAGGAGCACTCAACACAGCCATGGTACGACCAAGCTTAATGACTCTTCTTCTAATCCCTGTTCTCATATTTTACTGTTCTTATAGTATAGAATTTTGCACCGCCATAGACACAATTACGTCTACTCAACCCATCCATGACCCTCAAACTATAGTCTCCAGTGGTGCCACCTTCAAACTGGGATTTTTAAGCCCTAGTGTTAATTTTACTAATCAGTATGTTGGTATCTGGTACAACGATATCTCTGCCAAGGCTGTGGTTTGGGTTGCGAATAGAGATACACCTCTGAATGACTCCTCCGGGATTGTGACAATATCCGAGGATGGCAATCTTGTGGTCTTGAATGGACAGAAACAGATTGTTTGGTCATCAGATGTTCCAAATGCTTTGGTGAATTCAAGTGCTCAGCTTTCAGATTCTGGAAACCTTATGTTGCAAGATGACTCCAATGGAAACATAATATGGGAGAGTTTTGAACACCCTTCTGATTCTTTCTTGCAGGGGATAAAAATTAGTACTAACAAGTTTACAGGTAAGAAGACTCAATTGACCTCATGGAAAAGCCCTTCAGTTCCATCCAGTGGAAGGTACACTTTTGGCGTCAATCCTACGAATATTCCAGAAGTATTTATTTGGAATGGTAGTCTTCCATATTGGCGAAGTGGTCCATGGAATGGGCAGATTTTTATTGGCATGCCTTACATGTCATCTGCATACTATAGCAGATCTGAAGTTGTAGATGATAAAAGGGGAAATGTATATATGGGTTATACTTATGCAGATAAGTCCTCTCAGTTATACCTTACCTTAAGTTCTAATGGAACTCTAATGGAGAGGTACTGGGAAAAAGGAAAGGAGATTTGGGAAACTACGTGGGTGAGTCAAAATAGTGAATGTGAAGCATATGGCAAGTGTGGTCCATTTGGAAGCTGCAATGTGAAGGGTTCGCCAATTTGCACATGTTTACAAGGGTTTGATCCGAAGGATATGGAGGAATGGAGTAGAGGGAATTGGGCTAGTGGATGTACAAGGAGGCAGCAATTGCAGTGTGAGAGAAACAATAGTGGTGGTGGAAAAGGCAAACAAGATGGGTTTTTAAAGCTCAATACAGTGAAAGTGCCAGCCTTTGCTGCGTCGGTATTTGCTTCAGAAGACAACTGCAAAATCCAGTGCTTCAATAATAGTTCTTGTATAGCTTATGGATATTATAGCGGCATTGGTTGTTTGCAGTGGAGTGGACAATTAATTGACATTCAGGAACTCTCCTATGGTGGGGCAGATCTTTACATATGTGTGGCATATTCAGAACTTGGTATTGTTTTTTCATCATCTTTAGAAAAAGAATGTGCCTCTTTTTCTGCTTCTATTTATTTTACTTGTTGATTCAGATAAGCAAATATCACTTGAAAATAAACCAATGCACATACTTAACACGTTAGCCACCTGATATCCGTGAACTGGTTTAAATCTTTTTTTATAGTACAAGTGTAATAAATTTTCTCATTTGCCTACAGAAAAGGAGAGCCATGGAAATTGTCTAAATTCTCGGTTCTTTTGAGTTAAATCCATATTAACTCAAGTACTTTCTCAATGTTTGTTGTGTTTTACAGAAAAAATGAGAAGCACAAAACTGGTTATCACAATTGCAGTTCTCATAGGATCAGTAACCATTGCAATCTGTATCTATCTTTCCTTAAGGTGGATGGCTAGACCACGCGGTATATGCTTGTTAAAATTAGCTCAATAAATTAGCACATATTTGTTGTTATTATATGGATAACCTATTACTAAATTCTGAGTTAGGAAGGATGAAAAAAAGTGGGAAGTTATTTAAAAGAGGCGAAAGAGATGCAGATTGTTCAAATGAAAGCATGCTTGGAGATGATCAGAACCAAATAAAACTTGAAGAGCTACCTCTATTCAGTTTTGAGAAGTTGGCAATTGCAACAGATGATTTTGATGGGGCCAATAAGCTCGGGCAGGGTGGTTTTGGTCCAGTGTACAAGGTAATGTTTTTTCATCGGGAACTATATGCTGTATCAACCCCCCCCCCCCCCCCCCCCCAAAAAAAAAAAAAATCATTTTCATCTTTAATTTCAGGGAAAATTGGCAAGTGGACAAGATATAGCTGTCAAACGGCTTTCGAGATCCTCTGGACAAGGGCAGGAGGAGTTTATGAATGAGGTTGTGGTAATTTCCCAACTCCAGCATCGCAATCTTATTAGGCTTCTTGGCTGCTGTGTGGAAGGAGAAAAAAAGATGTTGATCTATGAATACATGCTAAATAAAAGCTTGGATGCATTTCTCTTTGGTTGGTTCATGATAAGAGCTCTTGATGTTATTTTTAGTTATTTCAATTTCATAACCTTAACATCAGTAGAAACTTTATTGTGTTTAGAAGATAGAATTATTTTCTAGTTATTTCAATTTCATAACCTAAACATCAGTAGAAACTTTGTTGTGTTGAGTAGAGAATTGTTTGTGAACATACTGATCTACTAAAACTTTAAATTCCATCTAAACATCAATATAACCCAAATTTATTTTATTTTATTTTATTATTTATTTATTTATTTATTTATTCAATTTTCTCTCAGATCCAATCAAGCAAAAACTCTTAGATTGGAGAAAACGTGCCAACATTATTGAAGGGATTGGTCGAGGACTACTTTACCTTCACAGGGATTCCAGATTAAGGATTATTCATAGAGATTTGAAGGCTAGTAATGTTCTATTGGATGCAGATCTAAATCCAAAAATTTCAGATTTTGGCATAGCAAAGATTTTTGGAGGGAACCAAGACCAAGCAAACACTAAAAGGGTTGTTGGAACTTAGTAAGTAGTCTTTGCTTTGTCCAAAATGGTTAATCATTTATGTTATAATCCTTTTTTCTCAGGGGATATATAGTTCAACTCAAATATTTTTACCATTTGGCCTAATGACACAATGCAGCGGCTATATGGCCCCTGAATATGCAATGGAAGGGAGATTCTCGGAAAAATCTGATGTGTTTAGCTTCGGAGTATTATTGTTAGAGATTTTAAGTGGGCAAAAGAACACTAGCTTTTATCATGATGAGCACTCTTTAAGCCTTCTGGGATTTGTAAGCTCACTTGAACTATTGCTTGAGTTACTCCATATAGTTCCTTTTAATCTTTCTAATTCCAACATTTCATGGTTGTCGAATGTGTGTCTGAGTTACTCTATGCTGTGTCTAGGCATGGAAGTTGTGGAATGAAGATAGGATTGTAATGCTAATAGATCCAACAATTTCTGATCCATGCTTCCAAGTGGAGATCTTGAGATATATACATGTAGGACTTTTGTGCGTGCAAGATTTCGCCACTGATAGGCCTACTATAAATACTGCTCTTTTCATGCTTAGTAGTGAAGTTCCAATACTTCCAACTCCAAAGCAACCTGCATTTACTGAAACACGGGGTCTGTCAAATGTACGGTCGTCTCAACAAAGCCAGACGAAATATTCTGTGAATGATGTAACTGTTACAATCATTGACGGTCGTTAGCATGCAAAATTTTGTGTTTTTTTTTTTTTTTTTCTCTTAATATATAGACCCTTATTTGCTCTCTAATTGAATATAAATAATATAGTTTTGTTTTACATAATGTTTTCATCCACCCTGTTCAGAACTAAATGTTTGCCTTTATCCTTCCATATTGTTTCTTTTGAGAAAATCCTGTGTGTATTATTCACTCAAATCTTCTATTCTTTGTTTTTAATTAGCCAACTGTGATATAAATTTTAAGTCATGAGGCAACAACAACTCAGCATAAATGGATCTTCTTCAAAACCTTGTTGTCGTACTTTACTATTTCTGTTTAGAGTTCTGCACAGCCACGGACAAAATTACATCCGTTCACCCCATTAATGGCCCTTGATAGTACAGTCTCCACTAGTTCATAGAATATGTAGAAATCTGGTATAGAGTATATAACAATGTCTCATTTAGCGGTGTGGTGTGGGTCGCAAACAGAGACAAACCTCTTCATGATTCTTCTGGGAGTCTGGCTATATCTGAAGACGGTAACCTTGTGGTCAGGGATGGAAAGAAACAGATTGTTAATGTTGTATAGTATTTACACTGTTAATGTTGTAGATGATAAAGAATGAACTGTGTATGCGATTTACTGGACTACAAATGTAACTTTGTTGTACTCTTTCTTAAATTTCTGATGGAATTTTTGTGGCAAAGTACTTCGATGTTGGAGAGAATAATTGGAAAGATGCACGATTGGCTCAAAAAAATGAATGTGACATTTATGACAAGTGTGGTTCGTTTGGAAGCTGCTATATGCATGATTCACCTGTTTACAAGGATATGGAGGAATGGAGTAGAGGAAACATTTTCAGTAGTCTTCGAAGTTGAAGACATTGAAAGTGCCGGTCTTTGCAGAGTGGTCAGCTCCATTGGAGGATAACTGCAAAAGTGAGTGCTTGAATAATTGTTCTTGTATAGCAATGGAGTGGAAATTTAATTGACATACAAGAATTCTCTAATGGTGGGGCTGATCTTTACATTCGTGTTGCATACTCGGAGCTTGGTGATATGCATCTGCCTCAACTTTATGATCATGTAATTTAATATGTGCTTCAGCATTAGCATAAATCTTTTTTTAATTTACGACATAAGTCGATAATGAATTCTCAATTATTTCAGCTCCAGTCCTTCAAATTGCAATCTACATTTTTCTTTGGAGGTGGATGACTAAACCAAGAGGTATAACTCGGGCAAAAAAAAAAAAAAAAAATGTTAGCTTCTTGGAATGTAAGGGGCTTAAACAAGCCCAGAAGGCAACGGGAAGTTCAAAACTGGATTCAGAAGAATGCTTCTCAGGTTGTCTGTTTAGTTGAGACTAGGGTGAACCTGCATAAATTCAAGAAAATAAATAGAACTTGGTCTTGGATTCATAACTACTGTTCTCCCCTAATGGGCAGACTGTGGTTGGGATGGAACCCCTTACTATTTGTTGTTGTTGATGTGATAGAATAATGTGGGTTTGTTCTAACACTCATGGCGAGAGGTTGAAGTAGTAGGATTGCATTATTCACTGTGCTGGGTTGATAAGTGGGCCTCGGATCACTTTGGGTGATTGGAATGCCACAAGATTTCATGATGATAAGAGTGGAGGGTGCCTCAAAGGTTGTTGGATCAGTTTAATCACACTCTTCAACAAGCTGCTCTTATGGAGTTGCCATCTTCTAATGGTGAATAGAGCTGGTGTAATAGACAGAGCAGGTCTAAAAGAATTTTAGCTAAACTGGATAAGGTATTCATCAATGCAAATTGGTTAGATAAATTCCCTGGGACTAAGGTATCTTACTCTACTGCAATATGCTCAGATCATTATAGTGTATTGGTTCATGTTTTTAATCAATTTGCTAGTGGACCTGAACCTTTTAAAATGTTGAAAGTTTGGTGTTTACAAGAGGCAGTTCTACCATTAGTTCAACAGGCTTGGGAGGTTGTTGTTCAGGGAAATCCTATGCATATCTTATTAAAGAAACTTAGAAATGTCAAGAAGGCCATTAAAGAGTGGAATAAATTGTTATGGTAGTGTAGGAGATCGACTCATTCAGGCCAAACAACAATTGGAAGATGTTCAATTACAGTTGTCATCTCCTACAGATGGCAACTTCATTCTAGAGCAGCAATCAAGAGTCAGATGAAGAAGTAATGTTGGCTCAGAAATCTAGAGCTCTATGGCTCTCAGAAAATGATAGGTGTTCTGCCTTCTTTTGTCAAAAGATGAAACAATACAGAAACATGAGTGCTATCACTCACATTACCAAGGATAATGGGTAGTCTTCTTCTGAGATTGATACCATTAAAGAGTGGTTTGTAGAATACTATCAACAGATGTGTCTTAGTAGAGAAATTGCTCAAATGAACTTTGTTCCTCATCAATAGTCGGATTTACAAGATGTTATGGAGCTACACACTGAAGTTACTAAGGAAGAAATAAAGAAGGTCATTATTGATTTTCAGTTTTACATGCTCTCTTGACTAAGCCATCTAATCAGTTAGATGAAATCATGTAACCGGTTAGATGAGCTAGTATTTGCACTTTGGCTTCGGACTTCAATATAAATACCTAAATATCCCCAGACTTCTAGTAAAGCATATAATGGCCATAAAAAATGTTAACTTTACCCCTTAGCAGTTTTGAAGCCACAATGAACGTACTAAATGACTATTTTTCCCTTTTGTGTTTTAAACCATTATTTGACCACGGTAAATGACTATTATACTCTTATGGACTCTAGAACTATTATAATGACGTGAAATGACTTTGGTATCCTTGTGTAACCTTAGGTTCAGGTAAGGACCCAGTTAGCAATCCGGATCCCCAGGTTTGGGTTGCTACACAAGCGGAGCTTTAATGTATTTGGGCTCGATTCATCACAGTCCAAGAGGTGTTTGAACTTGATTGAACCATGAGTGCCATGGTCGAGCTTACTCTATGTGTATATCTTTCATCGATCAATGTTTGATCTCCAAAGTCTCACAAATTTCAACCATTCATTCAATATGAAGAGAATAGAGAATTGAGAAGTGAAAGTAGATGAGATAAAGCTAATCTCACTTATTTGACAGTACTAGCATTTGGAGAGGTCAACGATTAGTGGTTCCACTTTTTCGGTTAGTAGTACCGGCTACTACTGCTATAATCGTTGTGTGCTTAGGGAAGGGCCAATTTTGCTGCTAGGTTTGTGAGTGGGGAGAATGAGAATGTGATTAGGGTCTAGATAGATTAAAGGAGGAATGAGCTTGGAAATTAAGGAATGGGCATATATGGATTAGTTTTATATTCAAAAGAAGGAATAATATAATAAATTTGGATGGATTATGTGTTGAGATTAGGCTTTTAAAATATGAAAATAATTAAATACCTATTATAGCTTATAAAAATATGAAATATAAGATATATACATATATAAAATCAAACAAAAGGGAGGATAGGCTTTAGAAATCTTGAAGCTAATTTCCAAAAAGAAAATTCTCAAAACCTATAATGATGTTTTGCTCTCAATTAATATGCTTGGAATTTTCAGGTGACTAAAAAAGGGTTGGTTAGTAAATCGTTGACAAATGATGAACATCATTTGTCAACGATTTACTAGATTTTCATGATAAAGTATGATGAATGATGTGACATGTGAGATGTGGTATAGTAGTATGATGAATGATGTGAGATGTGAGATGTGGTATAGTAAAGATAAGATTGAGTAAGTGTCCAGCCACATATTATTGTGTAATGAGAAAAAAGAGAGAGAGAGAATGAAAGCTAAGGCGAAGAAAGAAAAAAAGAAAAGAAAAGGTAACTGAATTATTTAGGAAAAAATAAAATAGGTAAGTTGAATGGAAAAGAGAAAGTGACGTAAAAAAAAAAAAAAACAAAAACGTTGTTGTAATGCAAATCTACAAATCTAAATTGTTTAAAGTACAATATTTCTCGTCTTGCTCATTTTTTAACGCCTAGTTAAGAGCTTCTCCATTGGCATAGTATCTAGTCCACTTGGCCCATTCTCATTAAAGGAATTCACTGGTGTGTTAGAAATGGCAAATCTCAGAAGCCCAATTTACCACCGGTGTTATGGGGAAAATATAAATATATACAACTTGGGGAGTGTGATCCATTTTGCCTTAAGTGAGGTGAAATGTTTAATATACCCTGACACGTATTTTCATCTCACTTACAATGACCAAACTAGCCTAAGTAATATCCATGTATACATTTTGTATTGAGTGTCACTCTCTCTTATCTCGCAACAGTTAGCACCACCAACTCGTCTTTTTTGCAGCAAATGCAACCAACTCTCCCATACTGATTCTCACTGCCCTCAAAGCATCAATAACCATAAGAAAATTGATGCTGCCCCAGTCAACAACACCCCCCTCCAAAGAGATCACTCCACACCTACTAATCCACTAAACACCACATGGATCACAGTCAGAAAAAAACCAAAGAATGCATTAGTAACTGCCTCATCCACTGCTATCCAAACCTCGATTCCTATTATTACAAACAAATTATCCACATTATCCCAAATTCAACCACATCCCCTAGCTCAGGTTAACATTATTCCTCCAACCTCTCCCTCATCACCTCACCAATCCTCTACCTCAACTAGCCCCCATCACTACATACCATTCACCACTCCCGCCTTTGCATTAAGAAACTAAACTTCTCACATTTCAACAGTCCCTTACCCAATTAAACATTACAGAAAACCATTTCCATCCAAATCTTAACCACACACTCTACCATCCCATCCAAATCTCAACTTTCTTCATTTTCCCCCATTACTTTTCCTCAACAGAGGAAAAAGTTTGGACTTCAGAGATTATGAACCATCCCAGCAGGATGTTTGAATCACACCTTGAATTCAACTCCACCATCCCACACCCTTACCTATAATAAGGCTATTTGCTCAAGCCCTATTGTCTCTTCATTGAGTGAACGAAATAGCTCGGACAAACCTGTCAACAACGGTAAGATGACAGTCAGAAACTTGAAAAAGGTTGCTAGAAGGAAGTCATGTAGTAACTCATATTTGATGTCAAATGGATTAACCAGTGGCCAAAGACATCTTAGAGGTTTTTTTACCATACCTTTTAACTGATAAACTTTGCAACATGGAATATTAGAGGGTTGAATTAACCCTCTAAACAGTCAGAGATTAAGGGTCTTATCTTTGACAAGAAGCTGCATTTAGTCTCTATTGTGGAAACCAAAATTGCTTTACCTAATGTGAATATAATCCATAAATTATTGGCTCCTAACTGGGATATTGTTCACAATTACAACTATTCACATCTAGGTAAAATTTGGGTTATGTGGAACCCTAGTATCATTGATCTCTAATCATAGACATCAGTTTGCAAGCAATTCACTATAAAATTTCAATCATAGGTCATAGTAGTAGTTTCTTTACAAGTTTCATAGATGCTTCTAATAATGTAAATGAAAGGCAGTACCTTTGGGAGAACCTAATCCACCATGCAGGTCTTTTTTCTCATTCACCTTGGTTACTAATGGGGGACTTTAATGTCAACCCAAATGCATGTGAAACTCGTGAAGGCTCAATAAAGTGGTGTCCAACAATGTCTAATTTCAAAGAATGTCTACAACAGATAGAGTTAGAGGACCTTAAGTTCAGTGGAATCCTCTTCTCATGGTGCAATAGGAGTTTAGGAAATGCTTATATTGCTAAGAAGCTAGATAGAGCTCTTGTCAATCAAATGTGGACCAGCTCATTTCTTTTTTCTGAATACAAGTTTCTCCCACCAGGCATATCTAATCACAATCTGATTCTAGTCACAATGGACTTCAAAATCCCAAACAGGTGCATTCCCTTTAGGTTTTTCAATGCCTGGAGTTCACATCAGCAGTTCATATCCTTAGTTCTTGGAGTCTGGGCCACCTACATCAGAGGAACATCAATGTTCCAAGTGGTCCAAAAACTGAAATTGCTTAAAATAG